TTGTGATTGGTTTGTATATTCTGAACTCATTAAAGAGAGAAAAAAATGATGTGATTACTTGTGAATTCAAGAGTTCTAAACCGACTATAAGGGCTTGGAAAGGTTGCAAAGCTAGAATTTCCATTGCTGAATTTTAAGTAAATTTAAAGGAAATTCAGTTATTTGTATCTTATTATAGGTAAATAGATCATGAAAAGAATAAAAAGTTAACAAAGTTGAGGTCCTTCTCATGTATGCTGAGTGATATTTTTCTTTTACTAAAAATATACTGAAGAGAACAAAATTCTTCGCATTTTTTATCCCCACAGATGTAGCAAATTTTAAATTTTCTTTCCTCCCAATTCAGGAAATTACTGAGAATTGGAATTTAAGCAGCAGAAGAAGTGAAATGTCAAGGTTCTACGTGGGTGGGAAAGTGGTGGACAGTGTTGATTTTTTGCGGAAGAGGCACTGGGCATGGCGTTTGGATTTGTGGCCTTTTGCTATTATGTATGGTGCCTGGCTGGCAGCTATAGTCCCTAGCTTGGATGCTGTGGATGCCTTTATAGTTCTGGGTTGCCTTGTAGCTCTACACATTCTCGTTTTCCTGTTCACTGTTTGGTCTGTGGACTTCAAATGCTTTGTTCAATACTCCAAGGTTCATTTTACGGTCCCCAAAATTACCCACTTCTAATATTTTCATTCTCTTACTGTTGTTCTAGCAGTTTTTTTTGTCATTGTTTGATTAAACGATTTTTTTCTCTTATTTTTAAGAAAGTGTCGTTATTCGATTAAAAGTGTTTGAAAGATGATCTTATTCAATAATTAATTTATGTATTTTTTCACCTCTCTTGCGTTCTCTTTTTCAGTTCTGTTTGCACAATTTGAAGATTGATATAATTCAATAATTTAATTTATGTATTTTCTCATCTCTTTAATTCTTAAACCAGATCTTGTAATTAACCTTTTTGTAGTTTCTCTTTCAATATTTCCATGCTCCTGGATTTATTAATCAAATTTTATGTTTTACGTGTCTGTAAATATTAACATTGTTTGAAGATATTGTATTTTTAATAGTTTTACAAGCATTGTGATGCACTGAATCACTGTCAAATAGTGAACTGAGCATCATAATTTCCTATAAAGGAGCTATCTTCGCCTCTCAAAGCACACCCCATTAATACATGTTGCTACCTGCGAACAATCTTACATGTTGCAGGAAGTTTAATGACAAATAATATAGGACATTCCATTCTTAGAATGTGCTTCTGATATGTTCCGACTTCTCGGAGCGCTTCTTATATGAAAGCTGACACTTTAGAATATGCTCGTTGATTAGTAATAAAACAGTCTAATGTCTTAATGATTTGATATTCTTTTTCTGATTGTGTTTGTGCGTGTATAACATGATTTACTTGTTAATCTTTGGCTGAAAACATATAGGAATCTGCTTCAAATTTATCATTTACTAAATTTGTTCTGATTTTTTTTTTTTTTAAATTTTTTGGCAGGCTAATGATATTCACCAAGCAGATACATGCAAAGTGACTCCAGCTAAATTCTCTGGCTCTAAGGAAATTGTGCCCCTTCACTTTCAGAAGGTTGGGTACTTATTAGCTCGCTCTCTCTCTCTCTCTCTCTCTCTCTCTGCATGCACTTGTGTGCTTACTGTCCATGCTCAGTTAACACTGAATAATAGTTATGTTTTCCATATCTATTTATGTAAATGTGTCAATAGTTGAACAGAAGTTCGTCAAATAGTCTACTACAATTGTGTCATATAGGTTTCATATTCTTCCTATTTACACAGTTGTAAGCACATTTATTTGTATGTCTATGTAGAAAAAGATTCATTGAGACCTGAGGGTACGGTTGCAACCTTGATGTACATACTATCTGTAGTTTGATGTTTTTGAGAAGCAATAAAAAATACTCCGTTGATTGAAGGTACTTGTTCATCTTATACTAGTGGCCAAAAAATGTAGAGGCAAACAATTGGAATACTAACGCAACAAAAATACAGAAGATGGTGACCGTCCAACCATTCATGTTTCTCATCTCCTGTTTGCATAGGCCCCAGGGTGCCTAATTGTGTGCTTAAGCAGTATAGGGTGAGGGTAATGTGAAGCATATAGTTTCCATCACAGACTCAATAACGTATTCGCACAAGTGTGGACTGCACTTAGTTAAGAACTTCTCCATCGTGAGACTGTTTCCTGGAGCTTGGAGAACAAGTTAAACTATATTGGCTGAAATTCTATCAAGAAATAGACAAACAAATGAACAAAATAAAGCCAACGGAAGATTCTGGCTTTACAAATTTATATGGCAAATATCTACAGCTATAGAAATATACTTTCCTTTCATTCATGATAAATATATTGCTTTTGTGTTCATCACGGTATCTAGAATTTCAATATTATCATTACTGGATGTTTCCTTCATAAGTTTTGGGGTTACAACTTCCGCTAGAAGTTTACCTCGAACTATACTCTTCATGAAAAGATACATGAATTTCTATAAAAATGTTGTATTTGCTGTCCGCATTATTAACTCAATCTAACTTATTTGCTTCCTCAGTTGGCAGGTTCATCAAATTCAGTAGATGCGGAAGAGATTTATTTTGATTTCAGGAAGCAAAGGTTCATCTATTCGAAAGAGAAAAATACCTTTTTCAAACTACCTTATCCTTCAAAGGAAAAAATTGGGTATTATCTCAAAAATACTGGCTATGGCACTGAAGCGAAAGTTGTTGCTGCTACTGAGAATTGGGGAAGGAATGTGTAGGTTTCACCTCTATTTTTGTAGTCAATTTAAATGTTGATGAGTGATGACTGTCATGTTGATTTGAAGAAACTTTCATTTGTGAGAATGGAATATCAATTCCAACAGTTTCCTCTTGCCTTCTTAGAGAGAGAGAGAGAGAGAGAGAGAGAGGAAAAAACATATTTCTCTTTCCTGGCTTTAGGTTACCCTATTCCCTGCCTTACAACTGGAAATTTTCATTTTATACGGCTGCTTTTTTTTTTTTATAAATACGCACCAGCTAAGTTAGAAGTTGGACTTGTCTTTCCTCTCTTGCTTTGATTATATATATATTTTAGGAGACACATCTTCTTATATTCCAAGTTGCATAATCTTTATTTCAATTCTCTAAATAGAGTACACAATGTTGCAAATTATATGCTTTAGTTGACTGAAATTATTTGTGCAGTTCGGCAGTTAATATTGTTGCTGTCTTCTTGTACATGGCCCTTGGCAACTTCAAATATGTCTGTGGATGCTATGCACGATAAAATTTTGTCGAAATTAGTTGTATTTGTGTATGTTCATCGTAACAACAATTTCTTATTTTATTCGGTATAATAAATAAAATCTATGTTCATTATAATTATTTAGCGTTATCTATATTTATTGTAATTATTTTGTTGAGGGCATATATGTTCTCCCTGTAGATTGATTTCGCTTGGTGGTAGAGTGTGTTCAATTGTAGTAGCTTTAGTTCTGCTCCTAATGTTGATCTTGATTATGTAGATTTGAATATCCTCAGCCGACATTCTCAAAATTAATGAAAGAGCAAATCATGGAACCATTTTTTGTATTTCAGGTTTGTTGTCATTCTGATTTGCTTGTTTCCAATTCAGATTTTTTTTCTTTCTCAAATACGAGTTACACTGACACTTGTCTTTGTATTTATAATTCTATATCTATTTGTGCATTAAAACTTCAAACTTCAACACTGACCACCACATTTAGGTCTTCTGTGTGGGGCTATGGTGCTTAGATGACTACTGGTATTACAGTCTCTTCACCCTATTCATGCTGTTCATGTTTGAGTCTACTATGGCAAAAAGCCGTTTGAAGACCCTATCTGAGCTTAGGCGTGTAAAAGTGGACAGCCAAACACTGATGGTGTATCGTTGTGGGAAGTATGTCATGCAAAAATGCGATTAAAACGTCGTCTCTCATTTTAATTTTTCATGTTTTTATTTTACGGAGGATTGCATTTTTGTGAATTGACTGTTTAAAGTTGGAATTTAGGTGGGTGAAGATGTCAGGGACTGAGCTTCTTCCTGGGTATGTTGTCTCAATTGGCCGTTCTACTGATCAGAGTGGAGAAAACAAGTCTGTACCTGCTGATATGCTTATTTTAGCTGGGAGTGCTATCGTTAATGAAGCTATTCTAACTGGCGAGTCAACCCCTCAATGGAAGGTGGTATTCAATTCTTTTCTTTCTTTTGGGATAAGTTTCCATCATTATCCACATGAATTGGGAAGCTTGTATTCTTGGTCTTATTATAAATCCCGTGTGTCTTATATATGGAAAAGCTGATATGATATTTTCTTGGTTTGATTGTGTTTTTTGTGGTATTTTGTGGTATTTATATTTGGAGCCTTGGAATTGGATACCCGTATATGGACAAACTTAGAACATGCATTCACAGGGTTAATATGGGGCATTCTCAGAATTGAAATTCAGTGTTGATGTTGGTTTCAAATTGTGATTATTCTCTTCATCCCGCATAAAGAAGTAAAGTATAATGCATTCTTTCAGCAAATTAGCAAGTAGCTTTTTCCCAGGTGTAAGACCTGGGTTAGATTTCTGTGCTGCTTATTTTCTGCATATAAGAGGAATAATGAAGACAAAATAGGCTTTGAAGCTGAAGGTTTCAAAATTATCTCTTAATTTTAAATGGATTTCGGCCTAGTCAAGTGGCTTCCAAGAAAATGTCGCCTCCCCTACCTTTTGCCCCCTAGTGCCATAAAATGATTCTCTATCTGCTCTGAGCCTTGGTGATAGGTTTTTGAGCACCGTTTCTCACCTCTATAGAAAATCCCAAACTGCTTGTGAATGCAATGTGTTTGCCATACTGTTTAAACATGCCTGTAAAACTTATATGTTGAAGAATGTGCAACTGGAACTGCGTCTAATCTGGAACAGCTTTGAAGATGGTCTTGCTTTTGAAACAATTCTTTGCTTTATTCTTATCTAAAATTATCCTCTCAAAGAACAAGCATTTTTCAGGTTTCAGTAATGGGTAGAGGAATTGAAGAGAATCTGTCACCTAGGCGAGACAAAGCAAATGTTCTTTTTGGTGGTACAAAGATATTGCAGCACACACCGGATAAGGTGGTTCTTGTCCTCCAATACATTTCATATGGGTATTTAGAGACAAATTTTAACATTTTCATTTTTCCTCGATACAGACATTTCATATGAAAACCCCTGATGGTGGCTGCGTAGCAGTTGTTTTACGAACTGGATTTGAAACGAGTCAAGGGAAACTGATGCGGACTATACTATTTTCTACTGAGAGAGTAACTTTTTTTTTTTGTTTAATTGTTTGTGATTGATTTTATGCTAATCTATAGTATGTCTCTCCATAATTTCTTTATGATGTTATGTTACATAGGTGACTGCTAACAGCTGGGAAAGTGGACTCTTCATTTTGTTCCTTGTTGTATTTGCTTTAATAGCTGCTGGATATGTTCTTAAGAAGGTAATTTGTGTATTTTATTAGTTTAAACTTTCATATTTATTCATAATTTCATGTTGCTTATGGTAACAAAATGTGCTCTGATTTAGGGTCTAGAGGACCCAACGAGGAGTAAATACAAGCTATTTTTGAGTTGTTCGTTGATCATTACTTCTGTGATACCCCCTGAACTGCCAATGGAGCTATCAATAGCTGTTAATACATCGTTGATTGCACTAGCACGTCGTGGGATATACTGTACGGAACCATTTCGAATTCCATTTGCTGGGAAGGTTAGCAGTGCAAAGTTTTTGGATGATCTTGTATGATAGTAGCTATTATATGCTTACTTTATTGCCACAGTTTGTAATGGTGTGGTTTTGTTTCATTCTATTATTTGTCATTTAACTGAATATGGAGTCTTTCTGTATGATATTGTTCATAATTCTGAATTATTTCGGGCTATCTTTTATCATTTTGTTGCTTACTCCTTGGGGTGGAACGTTTGCTTCAATGCTTTGTCATTCAATTTTTATATGGTTTATTTTGCTTAAAGTTAAGATCATGGCTTGGACTCCATTAGTTTACCCAAAGTTCCGAATGTTTTGTAGCATCAGAGTTGGAATCTCAATGACCCATTATATCCGTACAAAAGTTTTCCTCTCTTCTTGAATTCTTTTCATTCTATAAGACAATTACTGCAGTAATATGTGAACCAAACCAAAATATTAATTATGATACAGGGGATTGAGCCATGGTAAGACGCTATGCTTTAACCGATAAGGTTTCTTTTATTTAACAAGTTGCAATTCGCAAGAATAGAATACTTTCATTCTTTGCTTTTTTAATGTCTTTTTTTTTTAATTAGTGGTGTTGCTAAGTCATGTAATTGAGATTCTTAATGGTCCATTAAAATGAAGATCAAACCAACTTTGATATGTAGGTGGACTAGATCCAGTGTTGGTTGTACACAAGGCTAATTCTTACAATCACGTAATTGTCTAAAATGTTTCCAGCTGAATCTGAAATTTAATATATACACATTGAGTAGCGTTCTCTTGATATATGGAAAAGAAGGCATGAATTACATCGCTCATCTTCTGTTGAATAAATGCTTATTTGAAGTGTACTTCTAATGATGATTATTGGTTACTCAAAACATCAACTATATTAAGCCATTGCCTAAACTGCACTCTACATGATTTCATTATGATTATACTATTTACATATACATTTTAAATTAGTTGTTCCTGGAGCTTCTTTATCTTCTTTGGTAGCATTTAATAGGTTTTCCCCATAACTTGCGGTGTACTTGATGTTCTTTCTGGTGTTTGCAATGTTATTTCAAAGCTAATATAATCAATAAAATAAAGAAGGGAATAAATATATAAATTTTGTTGTTTAAACATGCAATTTACTTTCGTTTTACGGTCTTTTTCTACATTATCTGATATTTACCCTCCCACAGGTTGATATATGCTGTTTTGACAAGACTGGAACATTAACATCTGATGACATGGTATTGCAACTCTATGAGCTCCAATATATTAATTCTTGTGCAAGAATTTACCTTTTATGGTGATGTTTTAAGCTCTGATATTCAGGAATTTTCTGGAGTTGGCGGGTTGACAGATAATGAGGACCTTGAAACAGATATCTCTAAATTCCCTTGGCGTACCTTGGAAATTCTTGCTTCTTGTCATGCCCTGGTTTTTGTGGACAACAAGCTGGTATAAACTTTTATCATTGAACAAAAGTTAATGCTCAAGTGTTGTTCATTGATTTCTTCTCACATTTTTCGGTGTCAGACCTCTTTCCTGGTTGTCTTAAAGCTCCAGATAATCTGAAGTTAACCAAAATATCCTTTCAAGGAAGAGAAAATAACAACCTCTTTTTTCTGGTCGCGTGTTCTTCTAATGTATATTGATTTCTGCTTGTCGCGTTTTTTCAGTGTCAGGCCTTCCTGGGTATCCTAAAGCTTCAGATAATCTGAAGTAATAATCAAAATTTTCTTCCAAGGAATAGAAAGTAACAACCACTTCATCTGATCACTTGTTCTTCTGGTGTATATTGTTGGCGGAAGGAAGTTGAAACAGCAAACCTTCTTGTTCTACACTAGTGACTCCTAGTTTACTATTAATGAATTTGTTTTAACGAGGAGCTAGTTGGACAGAAAAAATAAAAAATATCCCCGCTTATTAATTTTATTTAGAATAACCTCCTTTTAGTTGAGATTCCCAAAGCACCTAATCTTCCTCCTCACCCTCTTCCTCCAAGTCCTTCCTCCAAGTCCAACCCAGCATCTCTGGTCCCCTTCCGCCACTTGCCCGCCTCTTCCGGCTAACTGCATATAGTTATAGAGGCTGCACAGAAAGTTTCCTAAAAATGATAAAAAAAATTATTTTAATTGTTTTAAATCCTTAAGAAGTTCTAACCAGAAGAATAGCGCCTGAAGTACTGCCAATACAAATAAAAGGCCGCCCAACACCTTATAAAATATCCAGGCAGCAGAAAATGGACCCTGGCTGCTCAACGTATCTCCAAACATCAGTATACAATGTGAGAAGAGACGCAATTCTATATTAATGAGTAAATTTGAAGATAAATGAAAAACAATGGAGTCTCGTATTAATGGATATTGCGCCTTTCTCAAATTTAATCCAAAAATTTCTCCACGGGAATCAATTTGGAGGGCTAGTCCTTTGCTGCAGTGTACCCTTCCCCTCCCTGGCCTGTTCTCCCAGCCCCCTGTTACTTAGGAGTCTGTCGAAGAGATTTTGGTGATCATGTGTAACAGGGGGCTTGGGGGAAGGCAGCTGGGATATGGTGGTGGTGGGTGGGGCTGGAAGATGACTTTTGAAGATGAAGGCCATTTTTAATAAGGTCAAACTAGTCATTTGATTTATAATGGTTTTTAAACTTAAATATATAAGTAGATATTTTTTTCTCGAGCCATACAAGAAGATTATTTTGAAAAATTAATCATTATAGTTTACGGCAATATTTCTTGTTGATTTAACCATGAATGATGAAAGGTAGTGATGGGAATCATAGTAGATATGTTGTGTAATTCTTTCCAATAGAATTAGGATTTTATTTAATAGATTTTCTGGTATTTTCCTACATAAATTAAACTTGTTGAAACCCTATAAAAAGATGGCTTATCATGCATTGTAATAGTTGGACTTTTATATTGAATAAGTTAATAATTTGTCCTTCTCTATTCTCTCTATTCTCTCTCTTCTCTTTCTCTCTCAATTTGGGCATGTGTGGTAGTGTGTCAGGGTTTTGGTAGAGATGTTATTTAGCCCCTGTTTGATCTCCATTTTTGGGGTAAAATATATCATGGAATAGTGATTTTTTTGAGAATGTGTCGTTAAAAAGGAAAAGTTTTTGAAATATGTGTATAATTATTTCATGTGAGAATGTGTGATTGAAAATGAGTTTTGAAAAAATGTATTCTTGAATAAATGGGGCTCAAACAGGGGCTTAGTTTATTTTCCAACTTAGATACTTATTTTTGAAAACGTTATAAGTATTATGTTTAATAGTTTTTCTAGTACTTTATTAGTTGTTTATTTTCCAAATTGGATACTTATTTTAGGAAAGATAATTAGGGTTTTGTTTAATAGGTTTTTTAGTATTTTTCCTACTTAAACTAGACTAGTTAAAGTCTATATAAATGGAGCTTATGCATTGTAATAGTTAGACTTTGATATTGAATAAACCAATAATTTTCCCTCTAAATTCTCCCTGTTCTTCTCTTTCTTCTCTTCTCCTCTTTCTTTCTCATTCTCGTTCTTGTTTGAATGTATTCTACGTCAGGTAGATTACTAGATCAGAAGTAGTAGATCGAATATGAACGTGCCTTAGAGTTTATTCACTGGGAAAATTTAGTTAGTTCCCTCTTAAAATTGTGGGTGCCTCAAAATTTGATATAATCAACATGTTTTT